TTGTTTGCATTTTGACTGCTTGTGTTGTGGTTCTTGCAAACATGATCCCTTGTATAAAGGTGTTAGTTTTCGTGCCAGATAAAAGGGTAAAAATCTATTTCTAAAAGAGTATAGTCAGTGGGTTTTCAAAGTACCTTCGTCTTACAGAAATCAATTTCGCGTGAGCCCACCGCATTAAAACGATGCTCCGCTGAGCAGGGCGAGCCACGGGGGCGGGGGGGGGGAGGATGTCACCTTATCTTGGTCACGTGCCGTAGCTCACGTGACTTCTGACGTGACAATGTCTGGATGTTTTCGCCTGAGCACGACCGCTCGTGTTTCGATCGAAACGTGATTTATTTTTTATTATTTTATTTTTTCTACCTACGTGACTTTACCGAAAGAACCAAAGAGTATGAAAGACGTCTTGTCTGCTGAGCTTGTTCATATCTGTGTACATCGATATCCCACATTGCTTACACGTACACACCACACACAATGAAATAAATAGAAACTGGAATGACTTCCGAGGATGGGGAAAGATTGAGGAAACTCTTTCAATGGAGCGAGTTAAGTTTGTTCGATTCAACATCTCTCTGTCCGTCTGTGCCTCTGTTCCCCTCTGTGTCTCTCTCTCGCTGAATGTGTCTCTGTCGTCTCTGTATCTTTCTTTCTGTGTTCCTCTTGTCTGTGTCTGTCCACCTCTCTCTTGTCAGTCTCTGTGTGTGTCTCTATCAGCGTCTTTCCAACCGTGTTCAACTACTGTCAGTAGCAACATGCGCCCGTTCAACTTTCACGGCCCACGACTACACGCGACTCAAACTTGCTCCGAGTCTCTGTGTGTACGTTGAACTTATTTCGCACCGTACGTAGCCAACCATGCTAAATCTGTGGGTCTCTGTGTGAGTCTCTGTGTGTATCTGGAACTTCTTTCGCACCGTACGTAGCCGAACCTGCACAGGAGGAGCGGCTGGTATCTGTGGAGCTGTGGGCTGGGTACATCTGTCAGCAGGAGCGAGAGACAATGATGCTCCCAAGCATTCACTACGTTACCAACATCATATTTGCACTCATAAGTCGCTTGCCTAACTGCCTCGGCAACTCGGTGTTTCGTATCGAATCTCATCTCAAACAATCGAAGGACCCCTCCCTAAGTGGCAGCTGCCCCTGTGTGGCACAAGGTGGCCCTGCACCGGCCTGCACGTGGACATGAGTCTGTCGGTAGGGGGCGATCATTGACGCGCCATCTCCCTTGTGTAGTTTCTGGATAATGTTTGGAATTGCCACAATTTTGACCGTGGCACCAACATGCAATGACCTGTGCGTTGTGAATGACACAGCGCTATGTTTTACTGCTGCCGTGAAGCAGACTGTGCATATCGTGGTGATTGTTACTGGGGTAGCCAGGTGTGCCTGTCGGATTTGAACCGTGAACCTCTGCAGTAAATAGCGAATGTGCTACAATATTCTTGGTTCTTTCGGTAAAGTCACGTAAATAGAAAACACATTTTTTTATTTTTTATTTAAATTGTCATTTTGTTCTATTTAAGTGACTTTACCGAAAGAACCAAGAATATTAATTCCTGCAGTCACGAAAGTTTCAAGTCAAAATAGAATTCGCCTCCACTCGGCTCGCCTCAATCTGCGTGGAGGCGTTGGGGGGGTCAGCCTGAGAGAACTTCCTTCCAGACGGCTCCACGCAGCTTCGTGCGGAGCGACAGGCCAGGGAGCTCCCACACAGCGTGGCGCAGCTGATGAACATTTATATTGTTGGTTCTGTCGGTGAAGTCACGTAGGTAGAAAACGAAAAAAAAAATTGGAAAATAATAAATTGATGAAAAGATGGCATTGGTCGACTGACTGAGATGACTGTGCCCACCACAGTATACACACACACAGTGTACACACACAGTGTACACACACACAGTGTACACACACAGTGTACACACACAGTGTACACACACACAGTGTACACACACACAGTGTACACACACACACACAGTGTACACACACAGTGTACACACACTGTGTACACACAGTGTGTGTACACAGTGTGTGTACACTGTGCACACACACACACAGTGTACACACACAGTGTACACACACTGTGTACACACAGTGTGTGTACACAGTGTACACACAGTGTACACACAGTGTGTACACACACAGTGTACACACACACAGTGTGTACACACACAGTGTACACACAGTGTACACACACAGTGTACACACACACACAGTGTACACACACAGTGTATACACACAGTGTATACACACACACAGTGTACACACACACAGTGTACACACAGTGTACACACACACACAGTGTACACACACAGTGTATACACACACAGTGTACACACACTGTGCACACACACAGTGTACACACACACACAGTGTACACACACAGTATACACACACACAGTGTACACACACTGTGTGTGTGTGTACACTGTGTGTGTACACACACACACACAGTGTACACACACTGTGTACACACACACACAGTGTACACACACAGTGTACACACACAGTGTACACACACAGTGTGTACACACACACACAGTGTACACACACACACACAGTGTACACACACACAGTGTACACACACACAGTGTATACACACAGTGTACACACACAGTGTACACACACAGTGTACACACACAGTGTACACACACAGTGTATACACACACAGTGTACACACACAGTGTACACACACAGTGCACACACACAGTGTACACACACAGTACACACACACAGTGTACACACACAGTGTACACACACACAGTGTACACACACTGTGCACACACACAGTGTACACACACAGTGTATACACACACACAGTGTATACACACACACAGTGTACACACACAGTGTACACACACTGTGTACACACACAGTGTACACACACAGTGTACACACACAGTGTACACACACAGTGTACACACACACACACAGTGTACACACACAGTGTACACACACACAGTGTACACACACAGTGTACACACACTGTGTACACACACACACACAGTGTACACACACACAGTGTACACACACACACAGTGTACACACACAGTGTACACACACACAGTGTACACACACACACAGTGTACACACACACAGTGTACACTGTGTGTGTGTACACTGTGTGTGTACACACACAGTGTACACACACAGTGTATACACACACAGTGTACACACACACAGTGTACACACAGTGTACACACAGTGTACACACACACAGTGTGTACACACACAGTGTACATACTGTGTGTGTACACACACAGTGTGTACACACACAGTGCACACACACACAGTGTACACACAGTGTACACTGTGTGTACACTGTGTGTGGCTGAGTGATTAGCTTGTGACTGCGGATGTGTATGCTTTAACTTTTAACATAGCTATTTCTGTGACCAGTCACAAGCTAATCACTCAGCCATTTCAATGCTAAATTCTATGCTAATTCCTTTGTCAAGGCGCTTTGTTTCCTCTCACACAGCTTAAAGGTCGTGATCTGAACGTGGCTCTTTCACTCCAGCGCTGTCCTACCAGACAGTCTCGTCCCTTCACCTGATGAAGGCCGCTTGTGTTGTGGCCGAAACGTCGTGAGAATATTATTGTGTTATTTTATTTTATCAATTTATTATTTTATTCTCATTCTACGTGACTTTACCGAAAGAACCAAAGAAGATGTACTCAGTTTGTTTGATTAAGTGTGCTTTCTCTCTCTCTCTGTGTGTGTGTCCTCGTGTTATTATTATTTACTGCAGTTACCAAAGCTCCAAATCTCTCATTGACACAAGGCCGTAATTATAATATATTATAATAATTATATATATTGGGGGACACAACCCTCCCAATTATCAAATATGCTCAAAATGTCCCCCCAATATATTGCTATAGCAATATACAATATATAATATTGCTATAAAAATGTTTTCTAAATAATAATTGCTATGCTATGTTAATAAAAACAACAATTTGCTAAACCTTGGCCACAAAATCTGGACTTGTCTTCATATAACAATGCATAGATTTCTGTTTATATGATTGCGTTGTACTTTATGAATCCCTAATCTCTGCCATTACATACTATGAAAGAAGAAAAGGTGTAAAAAGTAAAAACAGAGCAATGTAATACAATACACTCTTAGACATTATTGTATCAAATAAAATAAATTCCATCCCATGTGTTGGTGAATTTTAAAAATATTTTATGCAGGAAAATGGCAGGAAATTAGTTTTCAAATTTTTATTTTTTTCTGGGGGGGGACCCCAGACCCCCTGGAAGATTTGGTCCCCCCCAATGTTGACTCCATGACTACGGCCTTGCATTGACTTGCTAATTTCTCTACCCTCCCCCTCTCTCTATTTAAGGCCTCGACACAGAGGCGTTGTATCTCTGTGTGCCTATGTGTGTGTCTCTCTCTCTGTGTGTCTCTGTGTTATCTCTCTCTGTCTATGTGTCTCCGTGTCTGTGTTTTGTCTCTCTCTCAAATTGAGCAATCTTTGGAAGAACGTTATCAACCAGGTGGGGTGTTGTTGACTGTTACGTTAGCCGACTCTCTGTGTTGTATTGCATTACGTTTCTAAGTTTTACTAGGTTTAATTTCTCTTTCACTTGTACCTGATGATGATTGCTTGTGTTGCAATCGAAACGTCGTATGCTATTTGCACACAGCGTTGGTGTACGGTGCTTTTTGTGGAATATTTTGCTGTTTTTCCCTGGATTTTCTGTTTGCAGAGTCACATTGTCACTTCAAGATGTTTTCTTGTTCATGTTTAAGTTTTTTGATTGTTGCAGTTGCACCCGATTCAAGAGCCGAATGGCTCACAGGGCTATACCAAATAAATGAAACTGAAACTATTATTTAATTAATTTATTTTTTCTACGTGACTTTACCGAAAGAACCGAAGAGAATCTTGCTTTAGTTTAAATTTCTCTTCACCTGCCTCGCTACTCTGTAACTTTGTTTTGTTTTAAATATTCACAGTTTTTTTTATTTTTTTACCAGGCCACGCCCACGTTGAGCTGGTGAAACCGGTCTTGTTTTCAGAAGCGACCTGCCCACAACAACAATAACAACAAGGTGGGGCTTGTCAACAGCGTGGCGGTGTTCACTCTAGACGTGTGGCGGTGTTCACTCTGGGCGCGTGGCGGTGTTCACTCTAGACGCGTGGCGGTGTTCACTCTAGACGTGTGGCGCTGTTCACTCTGGGCGCGTGGCGATGTTCACTCTGGACGCGTGGCGGTGTTCACTCTAGACACGTGGCAGTGTTCACTCTAGACGCGTGGCGGTGTTCACTCTAGACGTGTGGCGGTGTTCACTCTGGATGCATGGCAGTGTTCACTTTTGGCGCGTGGCCGTGTTCACTCTCTACATGTGGAGAGGAAACCCGGGGATCGGGAAGGAAATCCATGCGACCACGGGGAGAGTGAGAGAGACAGGCAGCCTCGGCTGTGTTGATTTATCCTCAATGAATTACTTGGTGGAGTGAGGAACCATTAATACTGAGCAGGTGAAGGTGGCCAGGCTTGGGTCTGGACACACCACCACCTGTGAACCATGCCAGTGTGTGACAGTGGTGGAGCCAGTGGGGGTGGGGTGGCACGTGCCCCCCCAACAATCCGATTGAAATCCCTAATTTTGATAGGATCATTGGGGTTTATTAGTAACTAGCTTCACTCCCGGCTTCGCCCAGGACTCGGATTCTTGTCTTTTCATATTCCCTTATCAAATTTCATATTCCCTTATCTTTCACTGAAAAACCCTGAAAAAATTGATGCTTGCAAGAAAGAAAAAAGCAGAAACAAATCAGGTTTCCTAAATCGGATGTTTTCACTCAAGGAAATTCAACCTTAACCCACTTCTACATGAGGTCGATTTTGGCCACTCGGGAAGGGAATGACGTAGCGAGCTGAAAATAGTCGCGTTCACTTAGAAATTCCAAACAGCAGAAGCTGTGAAAATTTCATGACGCCAGAGCTCAGCGTTGGAGAGTTTTAGGTGCTTCACACAAACAAACTGATGTAATTTCTGCCTTATATTTAAGATAGCCGTTGTACCTGTTCATCGCACGGATTTGTTTTGAAACTCCAAGAAACCAATGGCTTCATCGGCCAGGAGCAAAGCGCCACCTAAAATCTCCCGGCACACTTTTGACAGCTCTAGAAGTACGGCGCGCGAAGAGGCATATGGTAGGGGTAAGCATTGCAGAGCACTGAACGCAGGTGTGTTGCGAGTTGATGTCACACACTCCATGGTCATTTCCCCCACCCTCCCCCCCCCCAAATGCCAAAGTTTATCTTTATACTTTTTACATTGTGTACAGTATGGAACCTAGCCACATGCCAAATTTCAAGTGTGTAGCCTGTTGGGAAGTTTGCTAAACATTTCGAACAGACACACGTATCCACACATTTCCCTTTTATATATATAGATAAATCAGCATTTTGCGACCCCCACTGCCACCGTGTGACATATTATTACGTGCCAGGGACTCCATAATTGGCAATAATTAACGGCAAAGCAGTTACAAGCGACTCACAGAATTGTGCGCAGTTGCGTCTACAGTACACGACTTCCCTGATGACAAACACCTTCAGCGAGCGCGATGCCGATCACCCGCGTTGAATCAAAAGCAAGGGACAAGTCCTTACTTACTAACAACTCCTTACTTACTAACAACTCCCAACATTTTTCATTGCTGAAGGGGTTGCCCCATCTACCTGAAAATCCTGGCTCCACCTCTGAGTGTGTGACAGGGTCAAGTTTGTATTTGCATTAAAGTCTTTGTAAGAATGGAGTCAGGAAGTTATCACAGCACACGTGCAGCTGAAGTCGGAACTGTTCATCCCAGCATTCAAGGACATCTGTGCCTGGCTTCACACCTCTAAGTTGCGATTGAACATTAATTTATGCATTTCTGCATAACACAAATAGTATTATTTTCAACACCCTTTGCTATGTCAGCTGAATTTAGCTTTCATAAATATTCCTTTTGAAGCCAGAAAGCCGAAATTGTGTGCTCGGAGTTTTGGGTTAACATTCATTTTGAAGATACGAGGGCTTCCAGGCACGATTGTGACATTTGCCCACTCATTGTGTGCCATAACAGCCCGTGTGATGAATTTGGGACGCTTTTTCACTACAACATGAATATATGAATAAGTATAGACATGTAAGTCACGTGTGACTGTGTGTATGCATTCCTCTGTGCATCGATACTGACGTGTAGATGGTGTGGATATTTTTTTTTCTCTCTGCAGCTGTCGCTTCCTCTGCAGAATTTGTCTCATGGAGCAAAGGCACTCGGCGCGGCTCGGTGCAAAAAGGCAGAAATGCGTCCGGCGTGAAAACAACCCGGATCGTACTGGAGATTTGACACGGCACCAGATAACTCGCACAGGAGATGAACCCTTCAAGTGCAGTGTGTGTGGGAAGGCGTTTACACAGTCATCAAGTCTTGTAGCACACCAGAGAACACACACGGGAGAGAAACCCTTCAAGTGTAGTGTGTGTGGGAAGGCGTTTGCACAGTCATCTACTCTTAAAAAACACCAGAGAACACACACGGGAGAAAAACCCTTCAAGTGCAGTGTTTGTGGGAAGGGGTTTGCGCAGTCATCTACTCTTGTAACACACCAGAGAACTCACACGGGAGAGAAACCCTTTAAGTGCAGTGTGTGCGGGAAGGCGTTTACAGATTCATCTGCTCTTGTAGCACACAAGAGAACACACACGGGAGAGAAACCCTTCAAGTGCAGTGTGTGTGGGAAGGCGTTTACAGATTCATCTGCTCTTGTAGCACACAAGAGAACACACACGGGAGAGAAACCCTTCAAGTGCAGTGTGTGTGGGAAGGCGTTTGCACAGTCATGTACTCTTGTAGAACACCAGAGAACACACACGGGAGAAAAACCCTTCAAGTGCAGTGTGTGTGGGAAGGCATTTGCACATTCATCAAATCTTCATGTACACCAGAGATCTCAAAAGCATCAGAAGATCCACAAGGAGTGGAGTCTGAAATCAGCTTGTGAAAGTCAAAGTGCCGCAATGAGCCCATCCCTCATGAAACAAGAACCGGAAGAAAATCCCAGCCTGGACACTTTTAAAGGTATCGAGGTAAAATATGAAGAGGTGAAGGTGAAATGTGAAGAAGTGATGATGAAGAGCGAAGTAGTGAAGGTGAAATGTGAAGAAGTGATGGTGAAGAGCGAAGAAGTGAAGGTGAAATGTGAAGAAGTGATGGTGAAGAGCGAAGAAGTGAAGGTCAAATGTGAAGAAGTGATGGTGAAGAGCGAAGAAGTGAAGGTCAAATGTGAAGATGAAGATTCAACTCCAAAATCGGACCTTCACATCGATGGAGGCAACGTGAAGCAGGAGGATAATTCTGACTGAGGCAGAGCGAGGCAACTCCCAGCAGTTCGTGGAAGTGGAAGTGTGGGTGGACTTCCTCCGAGACAATACAAAGTCAAATGGAGACCCGGTAGATGTGTAAGCTTGAGACGATGTCGCTGCAATAGATGCACCTTTGTCACAGGCCTTTAATGACAAGAATGTGAAGTTCAACACTCAATTCCTAGGATCAACCTGCAGCGTAACAGTGGCCAGTCTTTGTGGACCTGTGGGTTGGGTAGATCTCTAACCAGGAGCGAATGCCAATAAGCTCCCAAGCGTTGACTATGTTATCATAATTGCATTTATATGGTGCTTGCTTTATCGCCTCTGGCAATTCGGAGTTTTGCGTCGTATCTCGTCTCAAACACTCGAAGAGCATCCCCAAGTAGCAGCTGCCCCTGTGTGGCACAAGGTGGTGGCCCTGTACCGGCCTGCATGTGGACAAGAGCCTGTCAGTAGGGGGTGATTGTTGATGTGGCATCTCAGTTGTGGAGTTTGTAGGTAATGTTTAGAATTTGGTACATTTTGACCCAGATGCCAGCAGGCAATGGTCTACTCGTTTTGAATGACACAATAGAATGTTGTATATACATTGTTAAGCATACGGTGTGTATGTTTTAAAATAGCTTCTTGTTAGTACGATGTAACCTGATGCAGTATATTTCAGTGCAGTATTTCAATTTTGTTAATATTCCTGTCAATAATTTAGAATGAATACTTGTCTGATTGTGTGCGTACATGTAACATTTTGCCTATGAGGGTCAAACATTGAATAAGTGATGCTTGGACAAAGTGTGTGTTTTGGAAGTAACCTGTACAGATAACTCGGGTGAGACTCATTGTTCTTGTGATACAGGTCAAAGGGTGTTTTTGTGTTTTCAGGAAGCATCTCCCTCTGGAGCAACTCATTGTTTTTTTAAATAGGCAGCACACTCGGATCATTTATCAGTTACAAGGCATACCACTCAAAAGTTACACATAGAGGAGATACATTCTCTACAACACGAATTATAATTTTGTATTACGTGTTGACGTAGGTTTTGTCGAATTAGCACGAGAAATGGTCCTTGCTGATTAACGTCTGGATGTTCACAACCAAGGGTTGGAGCAAGCCTGACCGCCTGCGGCGCCCCTCACAACCATTTACGGCCTTGGGCCAGGAAAGTCACGAAAAGAATTGCACACGAACGACGCCTCCACGCAAGCTCCCGATGCTCCGTTTTGAAGTTTGAAAATGAAACAACTTTGTACTGTATTATTTTTTTGAATTAGATAATTGTATTTCTTCATTAAAAGCTAATTCATTGAAAACGATATTTCGTGTGAATTTCCTCTCGTCGTTAAGTAGGTGGCCTTGCCGGGGGTTCGGTTCGATGCGGACTTTCACCTGGTTGGGATCGCGGGATCGAGATGAGGCGACACAGAGCTGGCCGTGCGACAAGACCGCCGTCCGCAGATCGAACGTCTGTCCCTGCGCCTCCGTCATTAATGCAGGGGGCGCATTGGTTTGCAACGCCTCCTGCATGAAAACTCTCTGCATGTGGAGTGGGATCCAGAGGGAAATCAACGCAACCACAGGGAGAGAGAGAGAGAGAGACACGCAAACTCCAAATATACAGCAAGCGTCAGGGTCGGGTTCGTACCCACGACTTCCTGTATGCCAGGAGAGGTAGTTAACATCTCACCACATGGAGAGAGAGACACGCAGCCTCAGCGATGTTGATTGATCTTCAATTAATTACTTGGTGGAGTAAGGAAGCATTAATACTGAGTGGATGAAGGTGGCCAGGCATGCGTCTGGACACACCACCAACTGTTTACCATGCCAGTGTGTGACAGTGTGAAGTTTGCATTTTCAGTAAAGTCTATTAACTGTGTTGAGCACGGAGGTTATATCAAAACAGTTTATTTTAGTTTTCCTCTGGAACTCTTTGTAAGAATGGAGTCAGGAAGTTATCACAACACACGTGCAGCTGAAGTCGGAACTGTTCATCCCAGCATTCAAGGACATCTGTGCCTGGCTTCACACCTCTAAGTTGTGATTGAACATTCATTTATGCATTTCTGCATAACACAAATAGTATTATTTTCCACACCCTTTGCTATGTCACCTGAATTTAGCTTTCATAAATATTCCTTTTGAAGCCGGACAGCCGAAATTGTGTGCTTGGAGTTTTGGGTTAACATTCATTTTGAAGATACGAGGGCTTCCAGGCACGTTTATGACATTTGCCCTCTCATTGTGTGCCGTAACAGCCCGTGTGATGAAATTGGGACGCTTTTTCACTATATCATGAATATACGAATACGTATAGACGTGTAAGTCACGTGTGACTGTGTGTATGCATTCCTCTGTGCATCGATACTGACGTGTAGATGGTGTGGATATTCTTTTGTTTCTGTCTGCAGCTGACGCTTCCTCTGTTGCTTCCTCTGCAGAATTGGTCTGATGGAGCAAAGGCACTCGGCGCAGCTCGGTGCAAAAAGGCATCAATGTGACCGGTGTGCATACAGCACGGATCGTACTGAACATTTGACACGGCACCAGAGAACTCACACAGGAGAGAAACCCTTCAAGTGCAGTGTGTGTGGGAAGACATTTGCACGTTCATCTGCTCTTGTATCACACCAGAGAACACACACAGGAGAGATACCCTTCAAGTGCAGTGTGTGGGAAGGCTTTTGCACAGTTATCTACTCTTGTAAGACACCAGAGAACACACACGGGAGATAAACCCTTCAAGTGCAGTGTGTGTGGGAAGGCATTTGCACATTCATCAAATCTTTATGTACACCAGAGATCTCAAAAGCATCAGAAGATCCACAAGGAGTGGAGTCTGAAATCAGCTTGTGAAAGTCAAAGTGCCACAATGAGCCCATCCCTCATGAAACAAGAACTGGAAGAAAATCCCAGCTTGAACACTTTTAAAGGGATCGAGGTGAAACATGAAGAGGTGAAGGTGAAATATGAAGAAGTGATGGTGAAGAGCGAAGAAGTGAAGGTGAAATGTGAAGAAGTGTTGGTGAAGAGCGAAGAAGTGAAGGTAAAATGTGAAGATGAAAATTCTACTCCAAAATCGGACCTTCACATCGATGGAGGCAACGTGAAGCAGGAGGAGAATTCTGACTGTGAGGCAGAGCGAGGCAACTCCCAGCAGTTTGTGGAAGTGGAAGTGTGGGTGGACTTCCTCCGACACAATACAAAGTCAAATGGAGACCCGGTAGATGTGTAAGCTGGAGACGATGTCGCTGCAATAGATGCACCTTTGTCACAGGCCTTTAATGACAAGAATGTGAAGTTGAACACTCAATTCCTAGGATCAACCTGCAGCGTAACAGTGGCCAGTCTTTGTGCACCTGTGGGTTGGGTAGATCTCTAACCAGGAGCGAAAGCCAATAAGCTCCCAAGCGTTGACTATGTTATCATAATTGCATTTATATGGTGCTTGCTTTATCGCCTCGGCAATTCGGAGTTTTGTGTCGTATCTCGTCTCAAACACTCGAAGAGCATCCCCAAGTAGCAGCTGCCCCTGTGTGGCACAAGGTGATGGTCCTGCACCGGCCTGCATGTGGACAAGAGCCTGTCAGTCAAGGGCGATGGTTGATGTGGCAGTTGTGGAGTTTTAGGTAATGTTTAGAATTTGATCAATTTTGACCGAGACGCCAACATGCAATGGCCTACTCATTTTGAATGGTGCAATAATATGTTGTACATACACTGTTAAGCAGACGATGCGTATGTTTTAAAAAGAGCTTCTTGTTAGTACGATGTAACCTGATGCAGTATATTTCAGTGCAGTATTTCAATTTTGTTAAAATTCCTGTCAATAATTTAGAATGAATACTTGTCTGATTGTGTGCATACATGTAACATTTTGTCTATAAGGGTCAAACATTGAATAAGTGATGTTAGGACAAAGTGTGTGTTTTGGAAGTAACCTGTACAGATAACTCAGGTGAGACTCATTGTTCTTGTGATACAGGTCAAAGGGTATTTTTGTGTTTTCAGGAAGCATCTCCCTCTGGATCAACTCATTGTCTTTGAAATAGGG